GGAGGGAAGGGGGACACTTCCCCCTCCCAGCACCTCATATATTGTGATAAGAGTATAGATGTACACATCTACTGGGTAAAACTTTCTGACTGTATCTACTAAAGCTGAACACATGCATACCCCATGACTCAGAACTTCTTCATCTAGGTATAGACCCAACAAATGTGCACACATGCTCAAAGAGGACAGCAGCTGTGTTCCCAAGACTCCAACACTGGAAACTATCCAAATGCCCATCAACAGTGGAACAGATGCATGTATGTGGTGGAGTCCTACCCTGGAACACTACCCAACAGTGACAAGTACCCAACAGCTACATTCAAGAATACACCCAAATTTCACAAGCATAATGCTGAGCAAAAAAGAACCAGAGAGGAAAAGACTACATATTGTGTGTGTTCATTTATATGAAATGCAAAAACAGGCAAAACTCATTGGTTTTGTAGAAGTCAGGATATGGCTGCCCACGGAGCAGGGAGGTAATGTCCGGAAGGAAGTAAGAAGGGGGCTCCTGAGCACCGTTACTCTTCTCTTTCAGGTGGGATGGCCAGTTTGAATATTTATCAAGTTTATGATATGTGTACTTTTTTGCACGTATGTTATATTTCAATAAGATGTTTTGAAAAATATTCCTCTCCTTCTGATTGCTTAATGGAAAAAAATCTCAGCTGGGCTCTGGCCTGCCTAATGCGTCCCTTAGACTGGCTCATCTTTTGTTAACCAGGCAGAGTGAGTGCGCAGGCTCAGAGGCCTCAGTAAACAACAGTATCCAGCTCCAACTGAATGACTTCTGTCTCCTTGTGTTTATTTTTGTGGTTGCTATCTATATATGGCCATTAATACAGCATTTCCATTTATGGTAGTGATATAAAGTTTATTTTTAAAATAGCTTTAAGTAAAAACGAAAAAAAGTGAATTGACTTACATTAAAAATAGTATGTAAATAATAGTACAAGTAGTTCTTAGTCACAGTAAACCTGGAAAGGGTGGAGTTGGTGAAATACTTTTCAAATGGGAAAAGGCAGGGGTTAGGGGGAGGGGAGAAAACCAGTTTCAGCCTGTCCCCATCTCTCAACAAGTCCTCACTGCACAGCACAGACTCAGGCCTAAGGACTTACCAGTACATATCCCTTGTAGAGGACTCATGAGGAATGCAGAGCAAGGGATGCTCCAGGAATAGTGGGCAAAGCAGGGACTAGGAGTGAAGGACCTGGTTCACTCAACAAGTATTTACAGAGCCTCTGGGTTCCAGGCACTGTCCTAGGCCAGCCTATGTAACCTGGCTCGGGGCCTTGGCTAAGCCCCTCTGCTTCTCTAAGCTTCAGCTGATGAAGGAGGTTCTGTGATTGATGCCTTTCTGGAGTAGAGCTCTGAACCTCATGGCGGTTAGAAAGAGACTTAAAAAGATGGGGCTGTTGTTGTTGTTGGTGGTGGTGTGTATATGTGACTATTAATCAGAGAACTAGGAGAAAAGAATTGGGGAGTAGTCTTCAGACTCATTGGCAAGAGAAAGCTCATTGAAACTTTGCATTGGTCTAATTAGCCTCACTTTGCCTGCTCACCTCTGTTCTTGGCTAGGAGATTGAGAAATTTTTGCAGAGGTGGAAGGAGAATCTCAAAAGGAAAGTGAGTAGCCAAATGAACAAGTAAGTGCCTCTCCTGTCCTCTCAATACATCCATCGCAATCTTTCATCCCCAGCTGCTGGGCATTGCAATGGAGATTGAGAATGAAGAGCCCTGCCAGGAGTATTTTTAGAGATGGTATCACTCACCACATTTAGTGAGTGTGGACTAGGTGCCAGGCACTATATTTTAGATCCATAGCCCATCCAACATGGTAGTCTCTCCTCATGTGGCCATTGAGAATTTAAACTTTGGCTAGTTCAAATTGAAATGTGTTGTAAGCACAAAATACACATCAGACCTTGAGGATTTAGTATATTTTTAAAAAAGGGAATGTTAAATCTCTCAGTAATAATTTTTAATATTGATTCCACATTGAAATGATAATACTTTGCATGTATTGGGTTGAATAAAGTATATTATTAAAATGGGTTCCATCTATTTCTTTTTTTACTATATTTTAACGTGTGGTTTGCATTAGATTTCCATTGAAGAGTCACGCTAGACACTGTCCTACTTTGAAGGTGCTCATACTCCAAGCGTGAGAGCAACAGAAACAAATGTTACCAGGCAGGCACAAGATGCCAGGGCACACCAAGGAGGCGTGGCCAACAACCTCCCCATGCCTGTCACTTTTTAAAAAATTTTTTTTAAAATATATATTTTATTGATTTTTTACAGAGAGAAAGGGAGAGGGATAGAGAGTTAAAAACATCAATGAGAGAGAAACATCGATCAGCTGCCTCCTGCACACTCCCCACTGGGGATGTGCCCGCAACCAAGGTACATGCCCTTGACCAGAATCAAACCTGGGACCCTTCAGTCTGCAGGCTGACTCTCTATCCACTGAGCCAAACCGGTTAGGGCTGCTTGGCACTTTTTACTGCTGTCAGATCTGGACACCATTCTAGTGATTTCTAGAAGTCCAGCTCTGTCTATTTCACTCCTTTACTCACACATGGACAATTTTACCCCTCTGCCCACCAAACGAAGCCAAACCTCCACACAAGTCAACTGGATTCGGCTTCCTTTTTCCAACCTCACTTTCCCATTTCCATGTCCTGGCTTTGGCCGATCGCCCTGCTCTGGGTGCCCTTGCTATCCCTACATTTCTCCTGGTAGACTTACAAGCTTCAATTTCAAATCTGATGTACCCATGAAATCCCCATCACATCTCCATCTAAACATTTCTCCTCCGCAAAGCCTCTGACAACCAGTGATTTGTTTATCTTACCAAAGTCTCTCCCATAACATGGTTAGTTTCTTAAGATCAGGAACTTGCCTTGCTGAGCACCTACCTCATCATCAGGGCCAGATGGCCACTTGGTAAATAGCTGTTGAGTTGTATCAAATGGCTCTGAGTCCTAAAGTTAGAAAGAGCTGGAGTGCAGGGCTCCGGTGGGGGGAAGTGTGGCACAGAAGTACAGTAACTCACTGCTTAACAACAGGGATGCGCTCTGAGGAATGTGTCATTAGGTGATTTCTTCATTGTGGGAGCATCATGGAGTGCACTTAACCTATTACTACAGGCTACAAACCTGTACGGCATGTCACTGTATACGGCAACGCGAGATACAATCAAGCACAAGAGAAAGTAATGCAATCAAGATACTCAGCCCCACCAGCGTAGCTCAGTGTTTGAGTGTTGACCTATGAACCCGGAGGTCACGATTTGATTCCTGGTCAGGGCACATGCCAGGGTTGCGGGCTTGATTCCTAGTGTGGGGTGTGCAGAAGGCAGCTGGTCGATTCTCTCTCATCATTGATGTTTGTATCTCTCTCTCCCTCTCTGAAATCAATAAAAATATATAAAAACTATTTAAAAATAATAGTATATAGTATTATATACTGTGCAGAATTGTACCTACTATACTTTTGTACAATTGGCAGCACAGGTTTGTTTATATCAGAATCACGACAAACACATGAGTAACGTGTTGGGCAAGGACATTACAATGGCTGTGACCTCACTGAGCGATAAGCATGTTTCAGCTCCTTCATAATCTTATGGAACCACCTTTGTACATGCAGTCTCTTGTTGACAGTACCGTCCTCCTGTGGTGCACGACTGTACTGAGAAATTAAATCTGGCTGGGGGCAGCTTAATGGTCCATCCCGTACCAAAAGAGTGTCAGACAAGGATCTATGTTAGGGTCACAGCCCTGGGAGATGGCAGGTCCAGCTGGAATGCTGGGGGGTGGGAGACAGCTTGGACGGATGACTCAGTAAATCAAACAGAACACTGAAGGGAGGCCACCCTGCTCCGTCCATCTGCATTATTGGAGAGAGCAATAGATGACCGTACTCCAGGGTATTCTCTCACACCCTTCCCAACACCCATGAAGCAGGGCATTCTGGGATCTCTCCTGCAGCAAATGCCTCCAGATCTGTGGGTAGGGGCCCAGGTGACTAAGGGATCACTTTTTTTCCCCCCAGGGGAGTGCAGAGTGGGCAGTGGGGAAGGGAGCAGGTTTCTCAGTGTCCAGAACTTACATCTTACTAGGTGCTCACGGGGTTGGGGAACTGCCATGGTCACTAAGGGGGACTGTTAGGGGCTAAGCTGATTTAGAGGATGCGAACCTCCTCCCGACTCAATACCAAAATCATTGTCCCAAGCACACATCAGCGGGTCAGTGAAAACCCAGGATAGAGGGAGTGAAATCTATTTGAAGGTCAACACCATGCCTTTTGTCCTTTGCATTTCCCCAGCAGCCCAGTGCCGGCCACACGGGAAGCGTGCAAATTAACTCGCGAACTGAACCGAAAAGGGGACAAAAGCGCCCACTCTTCATTTCCGCGCCAATCCTACTGAAGCCCCCAAGGGATTCTTACTCTCCGGGAGTCGGAGCCCAGGGTGGAAGGATGTGGTGGGACAGAGCCGACCTACAGAGGGGGACGAAGTGGGGGTGGGCCCACGCGCGGGAGCGTCGGGGAAAGGGGCTGGGCTCCAGAAGGGGGAGGGGAGAAAGCAGGGGGCGGGGAGAAGCAGGGCCCTTTAGGACGCGGCTGCAGCGCCCCGGACAGAAGCCCAAGAGTCGGTTCCTGTGCTCACGCCCCGCCACCTGCCTGCTCTCTCGGCCCCGTCGCGCTCCCCGTGGCCAACATGCTGCTGAAACTGGGTGG